ATGTCGGCCACAGAAGAGCGCTCTTGGCATCTGCAGCATCGTCCACAGACGCCAAGAATCGACAGACTGTGGAATCGATAAACTATACGGGGGAGAGAGAGAGACTAGCAAACTTCAAATATACTATTTTATATAATAGAGTTTTTTTGGGGGGTTAGATCGTATAAATATATAAAAGTCTCGTTAAAACCGGCCACTACCCGACAAAGCCAACTAGTGAGGGTTGTCACGTAAACAGAACGTGGCTAATTCGTCACTAGTACAGCACTAGTGTGTAGTGTAGTGTGTAGTGTATAGTGTAGTGTATAGTGTAATAGTGTATAGTGTAGTAGTGTATAGTGCAGTAGTGTATAGTGTAGTAGTGTATAGTGTATAGTTTAGTGTATAGTAGTGTATAGTGTAGTGTATAGTAGTGTATAGTGTAGTGTATAGTGTAGTGTATAGTGTAGTGTATAGTGTAGTGTGTAGTAGTGTATAGTGTAGTGTAGTGTATCGTGTAGTGTATAGTGTAGTGTATAGTGTAGTGTATAGTGTAGTAGTGTATAGTGTAGTGTATAGTGTAGTGTATAGTGTAGTGTATAGTGTAGTGTATAGTAGTGTATAATGTAGTGTATAGTGTAGTGTATCGTGTAGTGTAGTAGTGTATAGTGTAGTGTATAGTGTAGTGTATAGTGTAGTAGTGTATAGCATAGTGTATAGTAGTGTATAGTGTAGTGTATAGTCGTGTATAGTGTAGTGTATAGTGTAGTGTATAGTAGTGTATAGTGTAGTGTATAGTGTAGTGTATAGTGTAGTGTATAGTGTAGTGTATAGTAGTGTACAGTGTAGTATTCTAGTACAGCACACCGGTGTGTTAAAGAGCCAAGCCACAACATTTACAATCTGAGTACGATGTTTCGCCAGTAAATAAAACCAGCTTTAAGGAACGAAACAGTAAGAATTCTCCACAAGTCTGGCTGTCGCCTGATGAAGCTGGTTGCAATTAGGCGAAACTCAGATATACTCAGATTGTAAATGTTGTGGCTTGGCTCTCCAACACACCGGTACTAGTAAACTACACTATACACTACTATACACTATACACTACTATATACTACTATACACTACACCATACACCCTACCCGTACCCGGCCGGGTACGGGTATGGGTACCCGTTTGCGACCCTGGTGCGGCCGGGTACGGGTACGGATAAGGAATCAAAACCCGTTTGCGACTTCTGCAGAAAACCAGCCAGCCTAGGACCCTGGGATCTCTAGCCCCGTTGTCTTTGTCAGGGCCGGGACTCTGTGTGGGCCAGTGGTGAGACCCTGGGACTCCCGGCCTGACGTCCTTGTAAGGGCCGTGTACGAGTGGGCCAGTGGTCGGGACCCGTACCTTGGCTGGGACGGGTCCGCATAGCCTCCCCTAGGTGGCTCGTAGCTGGAGGACCTGAGAGCTCTAGCTTGGAGGCTGTACCTCCCCGGGTGCTAAATAGAAAAGGGCTGTTGCCTGAGTGCTGTTAAGCGTTATTGAATATCGATTTAAAGCTTCTTTCGTGACTGCAGGGATTCATCTTCATGGTTCTTTCGGTAAAGTCACGTAGAAGGGAAATAATAAAATAATAAAAATAAAACATAAAATACAATTCTCACGACGTTTCGGCCACAACGCAAGCAGCGGTCCTCAGGTGAAGAACAGGTCTGTCGGAAAGACAGCGTCTGAATGAACACCGCCAAGCTTGGCAGCGTATATTTAAGCTGGGTTAGGGGACAAAGACATATTTCGTTGCTTCCTCTTCGTACCTTTCACGCGACGGTCAATGGTATAGTGTTTACTGTATTTTATTATGTTTTATTTTTATTCTTTTATTATTTCCCTTCTACGTGACTTTACCGAAAGAACCAAGAAGATGAACCAAGAAGACGTTATTGAATAAACGCGTTGCCCCTACAAGTGGTCTCCAACAACTCACTACATCTTGTTCAGAAGAGACCCATTCCGGCCACGTGCACACGATAAGCTCGAGAGAAAGTGGCCCCGCAAGCCGGACCCATCGCTTCCGACTCCCCCGTCCCTCGACGAGCCTCAACTCGAGACATGCGTTTCTCCTACCTGGCGTTCTTTCACCTGCCGTCTCTCGGCATCATTGTCCCCCACCGCCCACCACCACCTCCCCCTTGCAGGAATGTCAGCGCTCATCTGAGCGCGCCGCGCGCACGTGTAGCGGATGACCCACCCGCTGCATCAGCGTCTCGTGTTTACTCCACCCCCCTCTTCCTCCTGCTCCTCTTTGTCTTGTTGTGCCCACGCGTGCAGAGGTCAACCCCGCAGTGCCACGTCTTCAATGTCGCCGTGCGTCGACACTGATGGCCGCGCGTTGTTTTGGTTCTATTTCTGGCCTGCGCGCGCTAAATGTGATGTCCGCCGTCCCGTTTTTTTCCCCCCTGAGCCGTGGCTCTTCGCCGGCTGTGGCCGGAATTGCCCTCGGCGGTAAAATCACAGCGGGAAGGTCGCACTGCTGGATGCTCACACAGAGAGGCTCCTGACGATGCCGCCTCAGGGCCTTGCCTGACGCCGGCTGCGAAGGCCGCGACTTAAACAATGGCCGCCGTCGTTCCCTCCGCTCGATCGCCGTACCGGGTGCGGTACGCAGAGCCGGCCCAGCCACTAAGCGACCCTTGCAATTGCAAAGGGCGCCGTGGCCAGCAGAGAGCCCCCCTAGAGTCACTGCTAGCTAGTGGGTGAAAAAAATCATACATCAAAGGGGCCTCCAACCAAATTTTGCTTATGGCCCCCAAAGGTCTAGGGCCGGTTCTGACGGTGCGCATCTTGCGAAAGCCGTCGTCGCACGAACTCCGCTCACCGTCGCGGCGGCGGCGGCGGCTTTTGGGCCAGGCCGTCGAACGAAGACGGCGGCCGTCACGTCGCGCGGCGCTTTCAGATGCGCTGTTTCTGCGGCCATCGAACAAAACCGCGCGGGGGGGGGGGGGAGTTGCGGAGCACGGTGCGGAAGCAGCGAAGTCCACCACGTCTCGTCCATCGCGAGCCCTCACCGTTGCGTTTTCCTCTCACTCTTACAATTGACCTCCACTACTGTCCCTCGTAACCCACGGACCGCCTGTGCACCAGGCCAGGTAGTCAACATCTCCTAGCCACCGTGATGATGAGAGAGAGAGAGAGACACGCAAAGTTTCTGTCACCCCGCGTTAGTCTTCACGTCGTCCCCATTAATCACGTGGCCGGTGGCACGAATTCATCTAAAAAAAAACTTAATTGCGGCCATGCTGCTCAGTGTAACATTGGATTCTGACCCACAGCGGATTGACAGCTTGCGTCAATTTCCACACACCCCCCACAGTACCACGTTGTGGTTGATCTGTAGCCTGGTTGTTGTTGTTGTTCAGGCAGAGAAGGGGGGTTGATCCATGAGCCACCCACCGTTTCTGAGGCTACCCCCCACCCGCTCGTATCGACAGAAAATGCCTCGAGCTCGTAGCAGCAGCGCCCTCTGTTGGGAACAGCTCGTGTGTGTTGGTGTGGTGTGTATGTGAGTGTGTTGGTGATGGTGTGTGTTGGTGAGTGTGTGTTGAGTGTGTGTGTTGGTGTGTGTTGGTGTGTGTGTGTTAGTGTGTGTGTATGTTGGTGAGTGTGGTGAGTGTGGTGTTGGTGTGTGTGTTAGTGTGGTGTGTGTGTGTTGGTGAGTGTGTGTTGGTGATGGTGTGTGTGTGTTGGTGTGTGTTGGTGTGTGTGTGTTGGTGTGGTGTGTGTGTTGGCGAGTGTGTGGTGTGTATGAGTGATGGTTGTGTGTGTGTTGGTGTGGTGTGTGTTGGTTTGTGTTGGTGTGTGTTGGTGTGTGTGTGTTGGTGAGAGTGTGGTGTGTGTGTTGGTGAATGTGTGGTGTGTATGAGTGATGGTTGTGTGTGTGTTGGTCCGTGTGGGGTGTGCAGTGTGTGTGTGGTGTGTGCGGTGTGTGTGGTGTGTGTGTACGTACGTGCGATGCACATGTGCGTACGTACGCCACGCGTACGCACCTACACGCGTGCGTACGTACGTGGCTGTCTTCTGTCTACAGAGAAGCCCCGTCACACGTGGCCAGGAGAACAACAACAACAGCAACAACAACAACAACAGCAAAAGACCTGGAGCGTTAAAAGATGTCAAGTTCTTTCTAGATTTGAAGTTTTCGTGACTGCAAGGATCCATACTCTTTGGTTCTTTCGGTAAAGTCACGTTGATGAAAAGTAAAAATAATAATAAAAATAACAAAAATGAAAATAACTCAATTAAATCACGACGTTTCGCAGGCAACACAAGCGTCCGTCATCAGGTGGAACAATCAAATTACTACAGGAATTTTACTGCTGTGGCTGTTCCACCTGATGACGGAAGCTTGTGTTGCCTCCGAAACGTCGTGATTCAATTTAGTGATTTTAATTTTATTATTTTTATTATTATTATTATTATTTTCCCATCTACGTGACCAAAGAGTATAAATTTCGATTTAAAGCTTTCGTGACTGCAGGGATTCATCTTCTTGGTTCTTTCGGTAAAGTCACGTTGAAGGGAAATAATAAAATAATAAAAATAAAACATAATAAAATAATTCTCACGACGTTTCGGCCACAACGCAAGCAGCCGTCCTCAGGTGAAGAACAGGTCTGTCTCTGTCTCAGATGCTGTCTCCCCGACAGACCTGGTCTTCACCTGAGGACGGCTGCTTGCGTTGTGGCCGAAACGTCGTGAAAATTATTATATCATGTTTTATTTTTATTATTTTATCATTTCCATTCTACGTGACTTCACCGAAAGAACCAAGAAAATCAAAGAGAATGTAAAATTCTGACGTTTCGTTTTTTTTTTGGGGGGGGGGGGGGAGGCATTTGCATAACCGGCGTGCGTGCCGATCGAGACGTTCGCTCCCCATTTGACTCCGGGACATGCGCGGACGGTGATTCATCCCGGTACGGACGAGGGTTCGACTTTCACCCACCGTGACCCCGTCGCCTTTGACCCCGCGGCAGGCTGGGACGCGTTCACGCGCGTTGTGCGGCTCGGGAAAACGACGATGCGGCCCTCGGGCGATGCCGTTGTCATCGAAGGCGACGGGGACATCACCGACGACCTGCTGAAGCTCATCCTCAACGGTGGGGGTCGGCCCCCCCTTTCCCCTCGATTTCCCTATCCATCTCCTCCCCCCCCCCCCCAGATTTGTGTCAACCCCTTATCAGTAATATTCTTAGGTTTTTTCGGTAAAGTTACGTAGGTAAAACATTAAAAAAGTAAAATAAAATAAAAATAAAAATCACGACGTTTCGGAGGCAACACAAGCTTCCGTCTTCAGGTGGAACCGTCACAGCCACGACAGCTGTATCAAGATACTGTATCAAGATACAGCTGTCGTGGCTGTGACGGTTCCACCTGAAGACGGAAGCTTGTGTTGCCTCCGAAACGTCGTGATTTTTATTTTTATTTTATTTTACTTTTTTAATGTTTTACCTACGTAACTTTACCGAAAAAACCTAAGAATATTACTGATTTTTATTTTATTTTACTTTTTTAATGTTTTACCTACGTGACTTTACCAAAAAAACCTAAGAATATGAATCCTTGCAGTCACGAAAGCTTCAAATCCTTATCAGTAACTTATCACAGAGCAACTCAGAACTTAGTGGTCACCCCGTGCCCCTTGTGAGTCTCAACGTTTAACCTACAAAGTCCCATCACAAGGGCAGATACACAAACAAATAGACAATCAACACTAGTACACTCACCACTAGTACACTCACTAGTACACTCACCACTACTACACTCACCACTACACTCAACACTAGTATACTCACCACTACACTCACTACTACTACACTCACCACTAGTACACTCAGCACTAGTACACTCGCCACTAGTACACTCACCACTACACTCACCACTACTACACTCACCACTACACTCACCACTAGTACACTCACCACTACACTCACCACTAGTACACTCACCACTACACTCACCACTACACTCACCACTAGTACACTCACCATTACACTCACCACTACACTCACCACTACACTCACCACTAGTACACTCACCACTACACTCACCACTACACTCACCACTACACTCACCACTAGTACACTCACCGCTACAGACACGGAGACACACAAGCAGAGAGAGACACACACAGAGACACACAGAGAGAGACACACACAGAGACACACAGAGAGACACACAGAGAGAGACACACACACAGAGACACAGAGAGAGACACACAGAGACACACACAGAGACACACAGAGAGAGACAAACACCCAGAGACACACAGAGAGAGACACAGAGAGAGACACGCACACAGAGACACACAGAAAAAGACACACACCACACACAGAGACACACCAAGAGAGAGACACACCCAGAGACACACATAGAGACACACAGAGAGAGATAACACAGAGACACACAGAGAGACACACACAGAGACACACAGAGAGAGACTCACACAGAGCACACAATGTGCCAAAGAGGTATTATTCATAATAGAGGTTTCTGGGTCAGATCCCGTTATTTATAAATGCGTCGCAACCCTCCACCACCCGACACGGCCAATCGGCAAGAAATGTGTCACGTTAACAAAACGCCAATTAGTAACTTCTTGAGCCCACCGGTGTGTTTGAAGAGTAAAACCACGACATTGACAATTCGAATACGAAGTTTCGCTGGAAATGACACATCCGGCATCTTTCGGGTGATTTGACATTTTCACAAACTCGCCAAACCCACCGATTCTGGTTAAACTCACATTCGTGCTGCCATGCCCCCCCCCACGTGCCCCTCCCCTACCTCCCCTGCCCCCCCCCCCCCCATTCCCCTGCCCCCCCCCCCCCGATGACGTGTAGGCGGCTACACGACGGTGACGATCCTCCAGACGGTCGTCGGGCCCGACGGAAGCGTCGACACGCGGACCTTCGTTCTCGAAGGGGACGACATCGAGGATCAACTCCAGCGCATCATCATCGACGGTCAGTCACGTGGGCCCGCTCGCAAACACCCACCACGTGCACCAGCTGGGACGCACGCGGCTGAACGTGGCTGCGGTGCCACGGGTCAGCGGCACGCCAAGCCGCGTCGCGAGCCGCTACGGGATTGCTAATTGAAGGCGACGATGCTTGCGGCCGCCCTTAATTGTACGCTTTTGGAGGAGACATCGTACGCGAGGGTGCGATGCAGAGGTCGCAAACGGGTTTTGATTCCTTACCCGTACCCGTACCCGGCCGCACCAGGGTCGCAAATGGGTACCCGTACCCAGCCGGGTACGGGTACCTGTTCCCTGCCCGTACCCGTCCGCCTTTCCGAAATGAGTGACAAACAGTTACTCACCAGTGACTCACGGCCTACCCGTACCCGTACCCGGCCGGGTACAGGTAGGGTACGGGTACGGGTACCCGATTGCGACCTCTGGGATGCAGCCATGTTGCAGGCGCGGGTTGGTTGATTCTAGGAACTTGAATTGTGAGAAGAGACAAGACGTTGGGAAATGAGTGACAAACGGTGACTCACCAGTGACTCATGGTCTACCCGTACCCGGCCGCACCAGGGTCGCAAACGGCTACCCGTACCCGTCTGGGTACGGGTAGCCGGGTATCGGGTAGGGTACGGGTATCGGGTACCCGGTTGCAACCTCTGGTGCGATGGAAGAATCGCCGGGGTCTGGCGTGTGTGACGCGGCAAACGTGGGCTTGCGTGGTCACGATCGCAGTACCTCGCAAATCGTGGTGCGGTAATCACCACGATTTGCCGGTGAATTTGTTTCTGGAACAATGTTGAACTCGTTACCGGGGGAGTCTCTTTGCACCGACTCGTGTGGGAGGAGGCCACGGTGGCTAGGAGATGTTGACTACCTCGCCTGGTATGCAGGAGGTCGTGGGTTCGATCCCGAGCCTGACGATGCCTGCTGCTGTATATTTGGAGTTTGTGTGTCTCTCTCTCACAGTGGTGAGATGTTAACTACCTCGCCTGGTATGCAGGAGGTCGCGGGTTCGATCCAGAGCCTGATGACCACTATTTGTTTGGAGTTTGCATGTTCTCCCCGTGGTCGCGTGGATATTTTTTTAATTTATTTTACTAGGTAAGGCCCACTGAGCTACGTATCTCTATTTCAGAATCGGCCTGGCCACAAATGATAGCCCAACGAAGTTGGCTTATCGCGTGGACATTTATAGCAGCCAAATCCTCTAAGACGCGTGATGTTAATTCTAAATTTGGAGGGCAAAACCGTGAGGACCCTGAGAAAAATCCACGCGACCACGGGGAGAACGTGAAAACTCCAAATATACAGGTGGCAAGGTCGGGATAAAACCCACGACATCCTGTAAACCAGGCGAGGTAGTTAACATCTCACCACCATGGCACTCCGAACGAACCCGGTGACCCGAGTTCGATTCCCACTCACGGCCAACACCAGAGACGATTATCTGAATAGGTCATTGGGCCTCCCCTATGTTGACTCAGCCTCAAATGAGTACCTGCTGCTGGTACGATGTGAAAACATCGCCACAGGGAGACAAAGGCAGCCGGGAGTGGTACTGGCCACCCATCCCCCTCGTGTGCCGTGCCGGCCTGCATAGATAGGTGCTACTCGATAAAAGCACTTGCCCCAACAGTCTGTTGAGGCTATACGGTGGTGGGGGATCTTTGTCTTTGGTGTGACCACCCCCCTGTCCCCCCCCCCTCCCCCCACGTAGGCTGGAACGTGCTGACAGAGAAGAAAGCCTCTGGAACCTTCTCGCTGGACGGAGACAGAATCTCCGAGGAGCTGCTCCGACAGATCCGTGCCGGTGAGGGGGTGGGGGCGGTGGTGGGGGGGTTGATGCGACTGTCGCTGAAATTTCACCGTCGCCGCCACCGCCGCTCTCGTTCACCTCGTCGCTTCGTCGTCCCATCATCACGCGGAGGTTGAAATTGCGCGTGTGCCGCTTTGTGCGAGGTCGTCGAAGTGGCACTCGGCACTCGACGATTGTGACCCTTCGATTTAAAGCTTTCGTGACTGCAGGGATTCATCTTCTTGGTTCTTTCGGTAAAGTCACGTAGAAGCTGTCTTTCCGACAGACCTGTTCTTTACCTGAAGACGGCTGCTTGCGTTGTGGCCGAAACGTCGTGAGAATTATTTTATTATGTTTTATTTTTATTATTTTATTATTTCCATTCTACGTGACTTTACCGAAAGAACCAAGAAGATTGTGACCCTCTTGAGATTCTGTCGAAAGCTGTGAACTCGGTCCCACCGGGAGGAGGAGATTGCCGCTGCCCGTGCGAGCATGGCGATACTCCGGTCCCATTCGTCCCGTCGTCATCATCATCGTCATTCCTCTCGTTACTATCGCCGCCACGATTACCGGCTCTGCTAAGCGTCGGTCCGTGCCGTTTGCAGGCGCGTTCAGCAAGGTGACCCTGCGCAAGACCATTGTGGACGCTGACGGCAGCCGCAGCGTGAAGACGTTCACCCTGGAAGGGGACGATCTGGAGGGGCAGATCAGGCGGCTCATCAGCGAAGGTACGGCAGACCCACGATTCGTCAGCCCGGCCGGGTGGCGCCTGGTTTAATGCGGCCGGGATCAACCGTTCCGTTGCCGGTCCGCAGAGGAGAATGGCGTTTTAAGATCCGTCCGACGTCTGGGGCATTCCCGGAGCGGTGTTTGTCAGTGGCGGTTGTTTACAACAAGTCGAAGGCCTCACTTGGTGAATAAAAAAAAGAGTTCACAGTTTTTTGGGGTTTTTATAGCTTCTACGTCAGTGAGACGAGGCTCAAAAGAAAGGCGTCTCTGGTGCGGACCAATCAGTTTCAAGGGCAATGCATTTATTATCAGAGTGTGTGTTTTGTTTGCATTTTGACCGCAAGTATTGTGGTTAATGCAGACGTGATTCCTTGTAAAAAGGTTTCAGTTTTGTTGCCAAAAAAAAGGGGAAAAACCCTATTATTATTATTATATTTATAGCTTCATAAGAGTGACGCCGTTTTGAGAACACGGGCGCTGGCGGGAGGTGACCCGCCCACTCGCACGGAACCGATTTATGCGGTGTCGCTGTCGAGCCCGTCGAACGCCGGACTTTCAGAATCGGAATCAGGTGTATTCATGCCAGAGGAGGAATCCGATGAGCCGTGAAGCTCTTTCGTTGCAAGGGGGTCCAGTAGCAGGGGCACGGGGTCAGTCAGAAGGTCACGACGACAAAACGAGACAAAAGGCACGACAGCAGTTAAAAAAACTTGAGAAAAAAATAAAATAATAAAAATAAAACATAATAAAATAATTCTCACGACGTTTCGGCCACAACGCAAGCAGCCGTCCTCAGGTGGAGAACAGGTCTGTGACTTTACCGAAAGAACCAAGAAGATGAATCCCTGCAGTCATGAAAGCTTTAAATCGAAAAAAATATAAATACAGATAAAACTTAACTATCTGTTTTCATAGTACTAGTTTTTTCCATTTTATCTGGCACCAAAAACTGACACCTTTATACAAGGGATCATGTTTGCAATAACCACAACACAAACAATCAAAATGCAAACAAAAAGAGACAACTCTGATAATGATATGCACTGTCCTTGAAATTGATTGGTCCACACCCGAGACGGCTTTTCTTAGAGCCTAGTCTCACATGGTGTTGGACCAGATGACGCCAAAAGGCGCACAACTCAAAGACAGCGCACTATCAGAGTGTTGAGAGCTCGGGGTAAGCATTTACACTATGAGACCTCCTTTACCAGTGGCAAAATATAGTAATAGGATTTTACCCCTTTATCTGGCAACAAAACTGACACCTTTATACAAGGGATCATTCGTTTTTTACCTTACCAGGTTAAAGCCCACCGAGCTATTAGCTTATTTTTCAGAGGCGACCCAACCGCAAATGATAGCTCAACGGAGTGGCTCATGGACATCGCGTGGTCATTCATAGGAATCAAAATCGTCTGAAAAGTTATCCCAAGCGCACACATTCGGTTTTTAAAATCCTTTATATTAAGTTCACTTGCTTGCTTGCTTAGGACCGTGCAAATCTTTCGGTCGTTTTTTAACCCACTTCCCGTGATCCAATCGAGCTGACATTTTGCACACAGACTCGTTGTGCGTGACAATGCATTTTCGTGAAAAAAAATTCCAAAATTTTCCACTTGTTAGGAAAAAACTAAATTTCATATTTAATTTTAAATACCAATGTGATCAAAATGAAACTCTTACTCAAGAAAACCAGAAATGAATAATAAAATAAAACCGATGCCACGCATATAAAGGATTTATAGTGAAAAACTTTGTTTTTACGAGTTAATTTTTTTCGCTCGCGCGTTTGACGTTGTTTTGATTCGTCACGACATCGAGGACAAAACTCCGGTCTGTAGAGGGCGCGATTCCCACGGGTGGAAACGCAGCAGCGTCTCTGTCGTCATGGAGAATGAGGAAAATGACCGACACTGCAAATGTGGCTTCATCCATCAGCACGCGCGGAGCTTTATGAAGGTTTCTTTGAAGGGCGACTCGGCCGGGAGACCATCATCAGCAGCAAAAGCATTCCATCTTAACAAATACACAGATTTAAAATTATAAACCGAAACAAATTTTTTTTATTTGACCAGGTAAGGCCCACTGAGTTACTTAGCGCTATTTCAGAAGCGACCTGGCCAACACAAATGATAACCGGACGAAATGGCTTATCGCCGTCACGCAGAAATGTATAGCAGCCAAATACTCTAAAACGCACATTTCGAAATGTGGAGGCAAAAACCAGAGGACCCGGAGAAAATCCACGTGACCACAGGGAGAAGATGCAAGCTCCAGGCATCGTCAGGGTCGCGATCGAACCCACGTGATCTCCTAGTATACCAGGCGAGGTAGCTAACATCTCGCCACGCGCTTAATGAAAGCAATTACAATCGTACAATCACAGTCACGCTCGGAACTTTTGTGTGATCTTCGTCGAGGCAGTTCAAGTTGAGCACGGAGATGGCAGGACAGGATTACGAATCGGAGCGGTAGAGAGTCAAAGTGTCTCCCCTGATGATCGCAGTTGACGGGTCCCCTCTGCTGGAGCCAGCGGAGTCTCTCCGTAGCAAAGGGGGCCCCATCTCCTTGGTTCTTTCGGTAAAGTCACGTAGAAGGGAAATAATAAAATAATAAAAATAAAACATTATCAAATTATTCTCACGTTTCGGCCACAACGCAAGCAGCCGTCCTCAGGTGAAGTACAGGTCTGTCAGGAAGACAGCGTCAATCTAGATGACATTCAGACACTGTCTTTCCGACAGACCTGGTCTTCACCTGAGGACGGCTGCTTGCGTTGTGGCCGAAACGTCGTGAGAATTATTTTATTTTATTATTTCCCTTCTACGTGACTTTACCGAAAGAACCAAGAAGATGAATCCCTGCAGTCACGAAAGCTTTAAATCGAAATTTTATTATGTTTTATTTTCATTATTTTATTACTTCCCTTCTACGTGACTTTACCGAAAGAACCAAGAAAATTAATCCCTGCAGTCACGAAAGAAGCTTTAAATCGAAACAGATGTATTTGTACGAAATGATTCCGCGCGGGGGATCGTGCGATCCAAATGGCATTCTCCCCTGCTAGGATGCGTGGTTCTCCACTGTTTGGCGAAGAATAAAAAGAGATGTGCATGCGTGTGTGCGCGCACGCTCGCGCGCGCGTGTGTGTAATATACAGTACTGTTTTTTTTCGTGAAATTGGCCATAAAAATCTTTGGGACGTATTATTATTGTAGATCATTTTTACGGCACTCTTCCAATACCTGCCACACATCCCATAATTCTTCCCAACACCTTGGCATTGCAGTCATTGCAGATAATGTAGCTATATAATATATATCTTTGTGTGTGTGTGTTTGCGAGCTTGCGGGCCTGTATAGGATATATAAATCCGAGCGGGGAACAGTTGTGCTTTTTTTAAATTGTATAATCTATACGTTTTGAACATTTCGCTGTGCATGCTGTACATGGTGTGCTACATGCACATTGCGTACAAGGTTTGTGGCGTCATCGTTCTCCCAGTCCTGCTTTTTCTCTTTAAGTTTTGTCAATCTAGATGACGATTTAAAAGTGCCCTAGCTCCCATTGGCTTCCTGTCGGAAGGAAGAGCGTTCCAGACGGCCGGAGCGGGAAAAAGTGTTCATAGGCCATCAAGAGTTCATTGAAACACAAAGACAGGTTAAAAAATTAACCCGTAAAAACAAAGTTTTTCACTCTAAATCCTTTATATGCGTGGCGGCTAGAGTCCTCTCGTCCTCTGGCTTGAGATGGCTGCCATCTATGGGTCATATGATTGCATGGCAGCATTAAGCGATTGGTAATTAAATATAATATGTTTGTCCTAAAAAGTGTAAAATTTTGGAGAAAAAAATTTCACGAAAATTAATTGTCACGCACAACGAGTCTGTGTGGAAAATGTCAGCTCGATTGGATCACGGGAAGTGGGTTAAAAAACGACCGAAAGATGTGCACGGTCGTAAGCAAGCAAGCACGCGAACTTAATATAAAGGATTTAAAAAAGGCAAACGTTTAATCGGCGGGGTTTTGACGACAAACGTCGACGCGTCACCACGCCAGAGCCACCGACGTAGCTATATCCGGCGTGGGGGCGGTTTGGTCATCTCCTCTGTCGCCCGCTCTCTCCCCAGGGGGCATCTTGCACACGTCGGTGAGGAAGACGGTGACGAAACCCGACGGCACGACGAGCGTGGAGACGTTCAACGTGGACGGCAAAGACTTCGACGTCGAGGAGCAGATCCGGCGCATAACGGCCAGCGGTGAGAGGCCCTTGGGCACGCGCGTGGCAAGGCCGACACAGAGGCAAAGGTTTCCCGGATAGCCTCGACTGGCTGTCGGGGCAAGTGGCCGTGAGCGAGTAGCACCCTACGAAGGCCGGCACGGAACACGAGATGGTGTGCTAAGGGACTCATGCGGTCACCTGAGGACGGCTGCTTGCGTTGTGGCCGAAACGTCGTGAGAATTATTTTATTATGTTTTATTATTTTATTATTTTATTATTTCCCTTCTACGTGACTTTACCGAAAGAACCAAGAAGATGAACCCCTGCAGTCACGAAAGCTTTAAATCGAAATAGAATTCAACTCTTATAATTTTATTTTATTATGTTTGAGAATTGTATTTTATTATGTTTAATTTGTATTATTTTATTATTTCCATTCTACGTGACTTTACCGAAAGAACCAATAAGATGGTGGTGGTGGCCAACACCACGCCCGGCCGCCTTTCTCTCCGCAGTGGTGATAGTTTACATGCCAATCTAGATTTGAAGTTTTCGCGACTGCAGGGATCCATACTCTTTGGTTCTTTCGGTAAAGTCACGTAGAGTAGAAAATAAAATGAATCACGACGTTTCGGACGCTTGTGTTGCGCCCGAAACGTCGTGATTTAATTTATTTTATTTTATACCTACGCGACTTTACCGAAAGAACCAAGGAGTATAGTTTGCATACCGTACCAGGTACTCATTTGATGCTGAGCAGACTTGGGGGCGGTCCAGAACCGGATCAGATAATCGTTGCTGGTGTTGATGACAGTGAGCGACGAATAAACTCGGGTGGCCGGGTTCGTAACGCAGTCCAGCCAACACACACACACAGCTGTGCCGAGCACACACACACACAGCTGTGCCGAGCACACACACACAGCTGTGCCGAGCACACACACACACAGCTGTGCCGAGCACACACACACACAGCTGTGCCGAGCACACACACACACACAGCTGTGCCGAGCACACACACACACACAGCTGTGCCGAGCACACACACACACACAGCTGTGCAGAGCACACACACACACAGCTGTGCAAAGCACACACACACACACAGCTGTGCAGAGCACACACACACACACAGCTGTGCCGAGCACACACACACACAGCTGTGCCGAGCACACACACACACAGCTGTGCCGAGCACACACACACACACACAGCTGTGCAGAGCACACACACACACACAGCTGTGCAGAGCACACACACACACAGCTGTGCAGAGCACATACACACACACACAGCTGTGCCAAGCACACACACACACAGCTGTGCAGAGCACACACACACCCACAGTCCACCAGTTTCTTCCCACAGCAGCCAAATTCTCTAAACGCATGACGTCGATTTATAAACGTGGAAGGAAAATCCACGCGGCCACGGGGAGAACACACAAACTCCAAATATGCAGAAGGTATCGTCAGGGTCGGGATCGAACCCACGACCTCCTGTATACTAGACGAGGTAGTTAACATCTCACCACGGAAAGAGAGACACGCAAACTCCAAACATACAGCAGGCATCGTCAGGGTCGGGATCGATCCCACGACATCCTGTATACCAGGTGAGGTAGTTAACATCTCACCACTGTGAGAGAGAGACACTCAAACTCCAAATAGACATCAGGTATCGTCAGGGTCGGGATCGATCCCACGACATCCTGTATACCAGGTGAGGTAGTTAACATCTCACCACTGTGAGAGAGAGACACTCAAACTCCAAATAGACATCAGGTATCGTCAGGGTCGGGATCGATCCCACGACCTCCTGTATACCAGGCGAGGTCGTTAACATCTCACTACTGTGAGAGAGAGACACGCAAACTCCAAATATACAGCAGGCATCGTCAGGGTCGGGATCGATCCCACGACCTCCTGTATACCAGGCGAGGTCGTTAACATCTCACCACTGTGAGAGAGAGACACGCAAACTCCAAATATACAGCAGGCATCGTCAGGGTCGGGATCGATCCCACGACCTCCTGTATACCAGGCGAGGTCGTTAACATCTCACCACTGTGAGAGAGAGACAAGCAAACTCCAAATAGACATCAGGCATCGTCAGGGTCGGGATCGAACCCACGACCTCCTGTATACCAGGCGAGGTGGTCAACGTCTCACTATCTCGACTGACTGAGAGTCACCAATGTGCTAAGGGACTCATGCGGTCACTTGGTGTGTGGCGACCCCTTGATTCATTGATTTGTAGTAGATTGTGATGATAATGATGATGATTGTACATCCATACCAACCTGTGCGTTGGAATGAATTGTAATCGATGTATCGATGCATCACTAAAGGCCCAGTCTTTCGCCAAACAAACCTGATCACGTTCATCAAACAACACTGTGGCCTTAAAAAGGAGAAAATAAATAACGGGCGCCACCGTGCGTGCGATGGCCCTCCATCATAGGCCCTACTCTGACGTGTACGTACAGTGAGGGAAACAAGTATTTGATCCCCTGCTGATTTTGTACGTTTGCCCACTGACAAAGAAATGATCAGTCTATCATTTTAATGGTAGGTTTATTTGAACCGTGAGAGACAGAATAACAACAACAACATCCAGAAAAACTCACGTCAAAAATGTTATACATTGAGTTGCATTTTAATGAGGGAAATGAGTATTTGACCCCCTCTCAATCAGAAAGATTTCTGGCTCCCAGGTGTCTTTTACACAGATAACGAGCTGAGATTATTAGGAGCACACTCTTAAAGGGAGTGCTCCTAATCTCATCCCACACGGATGCTCCTCTCGTTCAACACCACACACTCCTGTCGCGAACTCTTCCACTGCTAGCCGGCTACTTAGAGCTTACTCTCTCTCTCTCGCTCCGCTAGCTCATTACTCCCCGCTCTCCTAGCCTGTCACAGACTCTCTCTCTCTGTATACTCTGCTTATCGCACTCAGACTAAAGATTCCGCTAGCCTCTCCTCCGCTAGCTTGTGGTCACACACGCACCTCCAACCTTCGCCCGTGCCCCAAACGGGGGTTCAGCCAACACCGCTGGGTTAGGACGAGGTGTGTGGAGGGCGACGTCACGGACTTCTCTTGAATATCTTCACTGCTTCATCTCCAACCAACTCAACCCAACTGCCTTACATCCTCCTCCTCATTAAGGGCCCTCAGATGGCCCTCATTAAGCCGGCGTCCTCCCCACGCCCCGCGCACGCGTTCTCCCCCTTATCGCCACTATCTCTCGCCTCCGTGGCGCCTACCCTGCGTTTGCAGCCGGTCAATCACTGCCTCTCTCCCTAATTGCTGGCGTCTCTCTGTCTGCTGTCACCCAGGTCACCCGACTGCACTATCTGTGACCCCGTGCATGAATGCAACTGCTGTTTGCAAGCCCTGCGCGCGTTACGCCACTGCATATATCTTGCCGATATTTTAATTGGATCTCCCGTATGCCAGGCGAAGTAGTGAACATCTCACGCACCGCGCGAATGCGCCGGGTCACGAGTCTATTTTTACTTTCACAATAAAAACACAAAAAAGTTATAATATTTTTAGATTCTTGGTTCTTTCGGTAAAGTCACGTAGATAGAAAATAAAATAAAATGAAAATAAAAAAATCTATTAGAAATAAAAGCAAAAAACCACGACGTTTCGATCGCAACACAAGCGGTCGAAACGTCGAGGTTTTTTGCTTTTATCTAAAAAAAAAAAATGTTTTTTTTTCCAAAGAACCAAGAATATGAATTCCTGCAGTCACAAAAGTTTTAAGTCAAAATATTATATTTTTATTTTATTTTTGCCGTACACACGAACAAAGGTTCGCTGCGTAAAACGTCGCGTGACGACAACAGCAAACCACACGAGAATATATCCGCCAGGCCCCATTGTGTACCCGGCACGCCCTGGCTGACGAGAGAGGCATGGGGCAGAGCGGAGTTTTGATTCTTAAGGAGAGACTCGCCTGGATCTTCATCCATCACGCGGCTGAATCTCCGCTTTTCATTCAAATGCCGACGCTTGCCGTAACACGAGAAAAAAACCTAAGCTGTCGTGGCTAAGTCACGGAAATAATTCTCGATTTAAAGCTTCTTTCGTGACTGCAGAGATTCATCTTCTTGGTTCTTCGGTAAAGTCACGTAGAATGGAAATAATAATATAATAAAAATTTTACATAATAAAATAATTCTCACGACGTTTCGGCCACAACGCAAGCAGCCGTCCTCAGGTGAAGAACAGGTCTGTCGATAAGACAGAGTCTGAATGAGTCTGAATGACACTCTGTCTCCCCGACAGACCTGTTCTTCACCTGAGGACGGCTGCTTGCGTTGTGGCCGAAACGTCGTGAGAATTATTTTATTATGTTTTATTTTATTATTATTTATTACTTCCCTTCTACGTGACTTTACCGAAAGAACCAAGAAGGGGAAATAATTCTGCTTCTTATTTAACGAGTTGGGAATTTGGGAAGGAGCCAAAAAATGTAAAAAAAACTACCTTTCATCCCCATGTGTGTGGAAGTCTTTGCGAGCTTTAATGCATTTTAGTTTACGGCCTTTGTTTGAAGTGACTCATTTCAACGTGGAGTTTAAGCATGCCCTGCTTCGGAGCCAGAGATCGCTATAAAATCTCGCGCTGTATTACAACATCAACAATGATAAATTATCCTTTTTGGTTTTAGGATTTTGACATTTTGACAATCCACAAAATTGCAAAAGCAACCAGGCAAAGGCATCCACGGCTTTTAACAGACCCATCGCAACCGATCCATTGAGAGATAAATCATCTTTATTTTATAAAGCGTCTTTCTTGACTAGTCAACTTCAATTGCACTGCACATAGCCAGCCGTGCTAATGCTAATGTATGTATGTTGAACTTATTTTTAACCGTACGCAGCCAACCATACCAAGGCTCATGTATGTATGTATACTCTTTGGTTCTTTCGGTAAAGTCACGTAGGTGAAAATAAAAATAATAACAAAAACAATAAAAATAAATCTTCTTGGTTCTTTCGGTAAAGTCACGTAGAAGGG